GTGTGCGAGTTCATCCACAACGCGACTTTGAAAAACAAGCGGGGCTACTCTAAAAGACAATATGAAGTGCGTAAGCAATAATATTCACAATTTCATTTTATTACACCATCATTTCTGTTGAGTTTCATTCATATATATGTATTAATTAACCCCCTTCTTCAAATTAGACGTGGCAGATGCGGAATGAACTCCTAGAACCAGATCGCATGAAAGCAATTCAAGAGGAATTGGCGGGATTCTTTCTTGACCACGTCATCAATAAAGCCGGAGAATACCATGTGGAAATTGATTCCAAATGCTAGGGGATTGTAATTAAGAGATCTTATACATATTGTACATGTATGTAGCCAGTAGCGTCGGATACATGATACGAAAACTTGTTGTTCGACCAATCTCTCAGAGAAGGAGAGGTCGATCGATCACTTCTCTCGGTATGCATGACGAACTTCTGTACTCAATGGTTCTCTCAATCACTTATGTATATATAGTACGTAACGTCGACCAAGCACGGACATAAGAGAGGACACTTCTCTCTATTAATTAGCTAGCTAACACAATATATGAAACACCTAAATTAACCCCCCAAAACCCCCAACCCCTCCTCCTTTCAAAAAAAACCCCCAGCCACTGGAATGCTGACGCGTGGATGGCTTTTGGTCCCGATTGGTGCCACCAATCGGGACCAAAGGCCCCCTGACTGGGCTCGGCGCACAGGGCCACGTGGAGGCACATTGGTCCCAGTTCGTGTTTGAACCGGGACTAATGGGTGGAGGTATTAGTAACGACCCATTAGTCCCGGTTCAAGAACCGGGACTAAAGGCCCTTACGAACCGGGACTATTAGGTGTTTTTCTACTAGTGTAGGTGCCTATATAGATGTGTTAATCCCCTCTTTTGGAAGGGATGGGTTTGGACTTTTGTGATATGCCTGCCGAAAAGGAAGGAGAGATAGTTAGTCTGAAAGGAAAGGGGCATGATAGATTTAATTGAGGAGAATGTTCGATAATCTCTTAAGTTACTAAGCTCCCTAGGAATGAAGTCTCCTGGTGTATCGAGCTACTTTTTGCAATCATCGCCCCACATATTAGGGAGGGCCTATTTGCACATGAACGTAGCATTCTTACGGTAGATAAATATTTAAATTTTGAACATTTATATTCATGAATATTTCTAGAATTTGGAGCTTCTTTTGGAATCCGTTAATATTTTAGAAATTTATGAACATTTTAACAAACTGAGAACATTTTTGAATTTTCGAAAACATTTTTGAAATTCACATTTTCTAATTGGTGAATATTTTCTAAATTCATGAACATTTTCTTCAAATCCATAAACGTTTTTACAAAAAATAATAATTCATGAACCTTTTTTTTGACATATTTTGACACATTCTCTCTACCTTTTTTCAGTGTTCCTTCATCTTATTTTTTCCCTTCGCTTCTTCAATGAGCCTAGGCCCAATAGGGCAACTAGCCAGCCGACCGAAGTGAGCATCCTAGGGCACGCGCATTTGGTCCTCCTTAGACGCGTTGCACATGGAATAGGACCTCTGCTGCATCTGGCTTATTTCGTTGCCACGGAGGGAAGAACTGGTTTTTTGCTTCATGTGTTTGTGAGGGGTGGCTCCACCTTGCTGGTTCTGCATCGAGTGGTCTGGCGCTTTCTCCGTCTTCCCTGCCGGGCTCCCCAGATGGTGGATCCGCAGTAGAAGACCGACGGCGTGCTAGCGCTAGGAGAGAGCTAGAACCGGATGGCAAGTTAAGGGTGTGAGGCGACCAGTTTTGAAGTTGGAGGTTGAATGAGTGTCAAGTTGAGGAGAGGAATTTTTGGTCTATGGGGACATATACATCCTATATGGAAAAAAAAATTAGTAATCCAATAAAAAGTCAATAAAATCTGAAAATATTTTTTTATAAACTTGACCTTACATTGTACTTGTAAGAAAAAATTCACAAAAAGAAAATCCCCCTTTGACTTCTTTTCAAAAAAGACAATATTTTGACCAAAATGGTGTGAATAGTGACCTATAATAGTAAATAAAATTTGTCTTTTTCGCTGTGAAGACAACATTGGTTTGTTTTTGTGGAAATTTAATACTAGTGTAAAAGTAAGTCAAGTTTATTCTAAAAAAACTTCTGAACTATTTTAATTTTTTGGTTAATTATTAAAGAAAATCTCTATATAGGGTGTATATATACAATCAGAAACCAAAGGGTATTTCCCGTCAAATTGAGGGCTATAATGTGGACCAAAGGCGACTCGACCGGCGCGCTGTACCCAAAACCCTATCCCCAATCGATCTGAGCAGAACCCCGTCCCACGGACCTCCCCGGCGGCGGCACGCGATGTGGGCGTGCCGATCGTTTCTCCGTCGACCCAACCCCCTCATCACCTCCCGTACCCTCCGGCCTGCTATCCACCGTCACGACGCAAACCAGAGGACAGCTCATGGCACGAACCATCTGACTGCATCACCACGGAGGCACGTCTCGGACGCCGCCAACTGGGATCCGCATCACCCGGCGGCCGCGGCGGCGACGACGAAGAGGCATCTGTACGTGGTGCTGGATGACCACAAGCACGAGTACGGCATCTACAAGCTGGACGTAGGCGGCGATCTGGACGGCGACCACGATCCTGACTCTGCCCGCCGTCTTCCTGATCCCGCGGTCATCCGCGTGGAGGTGCCAACCGCCGTAGAAGATCCAGCCGCGCGGTTCGCCGCCCTGGGCAGCTGCGTCATCACCACGGGCTCCAGCCCAAACACTTACGGCCTAAGGGAAGAGCACTACGGCGTCACATTGGTCTACGACACCGAGACGGCGGCGCTCTTTGTCGCGTGCAACGTCCCGAAAGGCCTGCGCGACGGCTTCCGCGAGGCCGTGGCCGCCGGGGGTAGGCTGTACGCGTTCGAGGACGTGACGGAGCTGCACGACGAAGTGGGCTGGGAGATGGAGCCCCTTCGGCCCTGCCCGGGAGGCATGCACTGCATGACCACGGACGCCGACGAGAGCCGGTGGTGCTGGCTGCCTTTCTCCGGCTCCTCGCGGTGCTTCTGGAGCGCAGACCCTGACTCGCCCCCCTTCTTCCCCGAGGCGATGGTGGCGCACGCGGAGGCCGGGCGCGCCATCTTCGTGTCCGCGAGCGGGTTTCACGACGACGTCCGGACCTTCTCCTACGACACGACGAGCAGCACGTGGACGCGCTGCGGCGGCTGGGCGCTGCCGTTCGTAGGCCGCGCCGGCTATGACGGCGAGCTGGACGCCTGGGTGGGGCTCCACCGCAAGGGCTACGACACGGACGGGCACCTCTGTGTCTGCCGCGTTCCAGTTCCGACGAGCGACCTCGACCGGACCCCGCAACCGCAGTGGAAGGTCGGCGGGGAGAAGGTGCTCCTCCAGCACCCGGACTGGAGGCACGTCGACGCCAAGCTCGTGCACATGGCGGAGCGCGGCGAGCACTGCCTCGTCGAGCGCCTGCGACGCGAGGGGACGGACGAGAAAGAGCGCCTGCTCAACGGCGACGAGTGCCTGCTCCGACTGACCACGTTTCAAGTCAGGTACGGTGACGACGGGGAGCTCATCACGACCGCGGACCGTCGGTACGGCCGCTTTTACAAGGTGTCGAGGTACCGCGATGACTTTGAGGTTGCAGCGTTCTGGATATGACTTGTTCAAATGGTTGATCAGTCGTTGATTAGTACTCCCTCTGTAAACTAATATAAGAGCGTTTAGACCCTCTGTAATCTAAACGCTCTTATATTAGTTTACGGAGGGAGTACTAGCAACGTCGTTGAAAAGCTAGTGGACTTGCGAGGTTAAACTCTGCACGCCGGCCGCTTTCAGTGTCACGTTCTAGCTGTCGGTAGTTTTCATTTTTCAACTGTTAAAGGTTGAATTTTGATGCTGGGACTATTACGGTAGTTGACATGGCGGGCGAGCGACGGGCAGGTCGACTGGTCGAAACCAGTCAAACTGACCAGAAAACGGTTATTTCTTATGGGAATGGGTAAAGGTCAGTCGATTGAATTTGTTTTTTAGGTTAATCGATTGTTTCCCGGCCGTTGGATGGCAAAGCAGCAGTCGTATTTTTTCTTCGACCCTCTAAAGAAATTGTTCGTTGTCTTCCTCCTCGCGATTTCGATTTGAACCCCTTCTTCCTCTGGCCACCCTCCAGCCCAGGCCGAACTGCCAGTCTCCTTTGCCCTTGGTCGACGACGCTTGCGCGACTGTCTCGACACCCCGCCCTTTCCTCACCGTCGGGCTTGCCGTCAGCTCCGGCCATCCCTCTAGAGCCGGCGAACTATCCGATTTCTCTGGTGAACTTGCACCCCTGGCGCCCCTAAGATAGACCCAGAGGATGCTGCTTCTCGGCGAGTCGGCACCTGCTGCACCTGCACCTCTCGTGCGCATCTTTCTTCTGAAACAGAAATCGATTGACTCTAATTTAATTTTCAAACGATTGACGTGCAGCTAAACTGGTTTCTTGTACATTCATGTCAATCCAGGATGATAGGAAGGTTTTTTTATTTCAGAAACAAAATAATTTTGGAGCACACCGAAATATGCGAAATTTCAGAAATTCCATATATTTTGAAAATTATTTAGGATTTTGAGATTTCAAATTTCACTTAATTTTAATATAATTTAAATTTATATTAAATCAGTTTGAATCTGCATCGAAATTTTGGGGTTAAAAATATTTTTGGAGCCCATTGAAATATGCGAAATTTCAGAAATTTCACTGAAATTTTGTTGAAATTTTAAACCATGGATAGGAAAGTGGTTGAGGGAATTAACCCCGCCATAATGCTTTGCCAGGCTACACCCTGCACGCCTGCCGCTTTCGGTGTCGCGTTCTACGTCTCGGTAGTTTTCCGAATCCTGACTTCTTCTCCCCAACGCGGCCTACCTCGAGAACAAACCAAACGCAAGTCCAATAAGAAACCGTACGTACGTGCCGGTTGCGCCGTTGCGATCCATCCATCTATTCTTCTGATCGATGGCTCCTCCCGCGCCGCCGGCGAGCGCCGCGCAGCACCAGTTCCTCGACACGGCGCTGCCCTACGCCGACGACGTCAAGTGGCTCGTCCCCGACCATCTCGCCACGCTCGCCGAGGCCTTCCCCTCGCTCCGCCCCAGGACCGCCCTCTTCACCCACGACGACGGCCGCGCCGCGCGCCTGCTCCAGGCCGCCGGCACCATCCCGATCGTCCACGCGGGGGGCTCCTATGACCTCCCTGCCGTCGTCTGGCTCCCGGAGCGCTACCCGCGGTGCCCGCCCCTCGTGTTCCTCTCGCCGGCCCGCGGCACGGTGCTCAGAACAGACCACCCCCTCGTCGACCGCTCGGGCCTCGTCGCCGCCGCCGCCGCCGCCCCGTACCTCCGCTCCTGGGCGTTCCCGTCCTCCAACCTGCGAGACCTCGTCCGGTCCCTCTCCCACGCCTTCGGCATCGACCCACCCCTCCTCCCCGCCGAGGTCGCCTACAGGCGCGAGGCCCTCGCCGCCATGGCCTGCGCCGACGTTGCCGCCCTGCGCTCCGCGAGCGAGGCCGAGATGGACGCCCTGTTCGCCGTGCAGGCCGAGCTGCGCGTGCGGGGCGTGGCGGCGGACGGCGTGGTGCGCCGGGCAGGGGAGGAGGTGGACGCGTTGGAGCGGCGGCTGCAGGACGTGACGGTGGCCGCGTACGCCCTGGAGGCCTGGGTCGCGGCGAACCGGGCGACGGTGGCCGCGCACGGCGACGCGCAGGCGGGGGCGGCAGTTCAGCCCGCGGACGCGCTCTCGGTGCAGAGGCTCGAGTGCGCGGCCATGGATCTGGCGCTGGAGGACAGCATGTACGCGCTGGACGAGGCGGTGCAGGGAGGGGCCGTGCCGTTCAGCGGCTACCTCCGGAGCGTGCGCGCGCTGGCGCGGGAGCAGTTCTTCCAGCGTGCCCTCTGGACCAAACTTTGCTAGGAAGGTTTTTTTTTCTTCCATGGAAGCAAAACCTTCAGTCTTACCTTCAGATACAGAAAAATTCAGAGGCCTGATCTTTTTTCGATGTACTGGTACTAGATAGTGCGTTTGCTAGTTGTATACTGCACCTATGATGCAAACATTTTTTACTTATATAAAACAGAGATTGGTCAGATGCTGGGTTAATTAGGAAAAACAGTTCATATAGCCACTGCAGTAGCTGAAGCTAGGAGTGTTTTTTTTTTTTTGGTAACGGCAATAGGTTTCTGCTCTGCTCGAGCCTCTGGATGCAGCTTGTTGAGGAGGGGACCTGGTGAGCCACACCATAGAGGACCCAAACTCTGGAAAAAGGCAGGAGCCATGGAGAATGCCATTGTTGAGAGTAATTAGCCTAGGATCTTAGGTGTGGTGTCTAATTCTGTCTTATCGCCCAGCAATCTGATTTGAGTCCTTGTATAAACCTTTTGCTCTCCTTCTATACAGATAGGATACGTCATGAGCCTACTAAGATAATAAGATACCTTAAAAGAGGTGTACTGAAAAAATAACCACCGTTTTAGAGTTTTGGACCAAGAAAAAAAACAGATCAGATACCGTAAACTACCCCTCCCCCCTATGGTGCAACGACCCCCGCCCTCGTGATCCTTGAGATCTGGAGGCACCCGAGGCTGAAGGCTTGGTTGAAGAGCAATTACTCTGAGATAATGAGAAGGAAGAGGACGGGACCGATGATGTTGTCATGTACCCTCCCAAGCTTCATGAGGGCATGAACAATGGTAGCAGCACCAGGTGATGCCCCAGTGCACTCCATCTCAGCGAGAGAAGACAAGACCACCGTTGTGACATTGATTACTCAACGCTAGCCACCCTTCTAGTGGGACCCATCCTCTATTATTTACTCAAACAAGGGGCACGGGCAAGGTCATCCTAGCCACTTTCTCTTGCTTTTCCCTCTTTCTCTTGCTTTTGTCAGCCAAGAGACGGGTTCTACTGCAGAAGACCGCTTTGGTCTGCAAGCATCAGGTTCATATGAGCTGGACTGTAGAATCCGACGTGGATAGCTGGAGCATCTGTCCAGAGTGGAGCGATGGCCATGCCCTGATTAAGTCTCCTGGCATTTTCTTCTTTATCAACGTTGAGTATGCTTGCCCTATATGTTATTCTGAAACAATATAAATCATTGTTTGGTGCATATAAAAAGTTCGATAGTAGGTAAATATAGGTTTTGCTCACTAGAGAGGAACCCGAGAACAATAGCAAAGACATCTGAACTTGTGAGGATATAGAAAAAAAAGCCTAATATCACAAAGCTAAAGCAAATGAAGATAAAGCCCTCCAGAAAGCGGGACATAAGCTGCAGGTATGCCCAAATTTTCTGCATGTCCTATTGAAACAATCTAAAGATAAGACACATCATCCAAATGGTAAGATTTTTAAGAATTGGAGGTAACGAGTCAAAACGAAAAGGCCAATACCTTACCATCCAAACTATTAGAACCATCAAAAAAATAAGCCATGGTAATACATAGAAGTTAATAGGAAATGAGAAGTACATTAGGATACGCTGCAAATTGGACAAATAAAGCATACCACATGTAGAGAAAGTAATGGTGGAGCTATGTGAAGCATGAGAACCAAATCGATAGGAAATGAAAAGTACATTAGAATACATTGCAAATTGGACAAATAAAGATCATATGTAGAAAAAGTACCGGTGGAGTTATGTGATACATGGCGGCGACAAATAAAGCGGATCAATTTGGACAAATAAAGCAGTTGTATTCCCACCTGGCAAGGGATGGGTTGCCATGCTTCTTGGTTGAACATGCGGCGACCAAGACCTCTTCCTCAACTACATGAAGGTTGACATGAGATACACTAGCGCCCAAGGGCTCGTAGATGCAGCAGAGGAAGTGAGGAAGAAGGCGATGACTGAAGAGAAGCAGTGCATGGACGAACACTATGGAAACCCAGGTAAGGGGATCCTGTCAATCGACATGCTGCTATGGGCAATGAAGGAGTCTGGCTCTGTCGATGCTGGGCAGAGGCAACGGTGGGCAACCCACCGCTACGTCGCTCTGGCACAAGCTACATCTAAAGTTAATGCAGAGGTGCACCAAGACGACGACGACTTACAGATCGTATCCTCGCCAGCACCGCAGTCTCGCTGCTATCCTCCTCCCATCATCGACATCGATGAAGACGAAGACAAAGACGAAGAGGAGGTTCAGGAGCTGCCAAATCCTACCCAGGTCAAGCAAGAGGTACGACGCTTAGGATGCTTAGCAGGGCAGGCGCTAAGTGAAACTGGAATAGAATGTTTCAGTTTCGTCATTTATCGTCATTGTCAGTTATCTTCAGTGTTGTTCAGTGTTACTAAGTTTTAGGTCCAGTTTCAGTTTTAGTGACTTGAAAACATTGTTACACTATATGTGTTATCTATGTAATGCTATGTATGGTGCCTGCTATGTGAAACAGAAACTACCTTAATGCTATGTAATATGTGTGTGTTTGGATGTTGTTTAAATTTCATGCAGGAATTTAAGATACTCAAAACTAGCTTTCATCAACAAATTGCAAGTAGGGGATGCAACCATTTAGGATGAAAAAGACAGAAATAAACTTCATCATACTTAGATAATATGGTTCTTAACTTAGCATCAGGGCCATTACACCGAGCATAATCTTAGAGCATTACAGATTAGGGGCATTACGACACCCCACACCCAACTAAAATGATCTGAAACCATAGGCAGTCCATATCTAATATTAATACTAGGATGCATATCTGCATCAGATTCCAGTCCTAGGCAAGTTATATATAGGCCTCATATTTACTTACAAACCATAGGTACCACTTCACTCCATGACAACTTCTTTGATCTTGTCCAACTTTTCTTTGCACCCATGACCAGTCTTCAGGAGCTCAGCAATGACATGCTCCAACTTCTTCTTCTCTTCCTTGAGGAGGTCTTTGTCCACCTCTATTTCCTTCATGGCCTTTCTTGTGTTATGGATTATATCTGCTTGACTCTGCAGGATGCACATCTGCTCTTTTTTCAGCTTAACCTTCTCCATTTAAATCTCAATCTTTGTCTGCTCCTCAAGTTGCTTCTTCTTCTCCTTCAGTTCATTTATTGTCTGGCTTGTGTAATCCATGTCATGAGATTTTTGTCCATCGTGACAATAAAACAAGTTGGATACGTCATCCACAAGCTGGTTGTACTGATTGCCCGGAGAATCAAGCTCCTTGTTCAGTTTTGCAACCTCTCTCTAATGAGCCTCATTGTCCTGGACTCTACCAAGGTTATGCTCATGATACATATCCCAGAGCTTGGTTAAGCACCTTTTCATAATTACAGGCCAAGGGGCATCTACCCACTCCACAATGCCACAGTTCACATCATCCTGAAAATTCAGTCAAGTTTACAGTGAGCTGACTAAGTAGTACTCTATACTACAATGCCATAGTTGCACGTTTAGTAAAGTTCTAGTAATCAAACAAATTCAGAAGAAGAAATCATAAACCTTAAACCAGTACATGGCTACACTAGCTAGCTCTATACTACAATTACAAAACATTGATCCGTTTCCAGAGCTCTATACTACACTTACATAATTCAGACATAGCAATGGTATTACACTAAAGCAAAATTCAGAAAAACATCAACTAAACAGTACTATGTTTCCACTACATAGCACAAAATGAATCAATTACAGCCATCACAACCTAGTTTATTACCTCAGTAGCACATCCTATGCATCTCATGTCAGTGTCAGTGCCTTCAAATGCCACAAACTTGCTTGGCCACTGCCTGTGCAGGATGGACTTACTATCAGATTCAACCACAAGTCCCCCAGAAACTTGGGTCTATCACAGGTTCAGGAGTTTGTTGCAGCAGCAAAAACATATATATCAACTACAACTCACAAATATGAACTTAAATGGAAGAAATTCAAAGTGTCTTCAAACCCTAACCCTGCAGAGGAGAGGAGAGAGTGAGCTGACTTACAAAGTACTCATCTGCAGGTTGCTGAACTCGCTCATGTACTCGCCATCGTCGGAGATCTCGTTGAAAAAGGGCCACAACGGCATGCTCGAGGTGTCGCCGGAGTGCGAGGAGAAGAAGAGGAGAGGAGAGAGTGAGCTCAGGGAGAGTGAGAGATAGTAGGGAAGGCCCGAGCCGGTCGGCCAGTTTTGACCGAGCGGCGGCACTAACGGCCAGCAGACGCGCGCCGTTAGCCGTTAGGGTGGTCGTCGACCAGTCATGTGGGCCAGCCCTATTGGACACGCGTTTAAAATGGTTGAAACGGTCATCAACACGACTTGATAGTTTTTAGTAACAAAATTAAAAAAAATCTTAGTTTTTGATCACTTTTTTAAATGTGGTAGTTCAGTGGGACGGCAAACCCAAATGTTATAGTTTTTTGTTAAATACTCGAGGAAGCTAGACAAAACTTTTGGTGGCGCTTACTACAAGACTTTTGGTACGGAGGTTATCCAATTGGTAATTAGAAACCTTATGAATTTTTCCGGTCAATCACTCTACCTATAAATCATGTTTGAAGTAAAGATAAAGAAGTAGGACATGGAGTACGTGATCACGAGCTCACAGGAGCTCGGTATCTGATCCGTCCAGAATAGCTTTGTGATTCGATGAATTAAATGAGTGTGGCTGGCTGCGGGTCCACATGAATTCCATACGTCACTCTACGCACTTGACCGATGGGCCCTGGCTTGGACGGACGTTTGGACGCCATGGACGGAGCGAGGCAGAGTCGTGGTTCAAGATGTCACCGGCGTCCTGATCTGTGGATCAGATCCGGTGCTTTCCGGTAGTGGCGGCAGGGCACGCAGTAAATGCAGAAGTTGGGCGCTGGGGCAAGCTATCCCCTACCCAGTGAAGTTGGATCTTGCATTCTTCAAGGCGGGGAACCGGTGGAGAAATCTCCTGCGGGAAAAGGGAGTGGGCGGTCCAGCGAGCTCCCAGGTCCTCCGG